TTTAACCTCTCGGGCTGGCCGAACGCAAATGTGTGGCCTCCTTTCGTCTGGGCCTAGACGCCAAGCGGCCGCACATTTGCGTTCTATTAAAAAAACATATGTGCTAAGAGAGCACGCCCTGCGCGCTCCCAGCACATACATTTGGTACTCAAGCAAAGGTCCCGATATCTTACGATCGGGACCTTTCCTGATCATGTCACCGCCGTGAGAGCGAATCACGGCGGTCACATGACCCTATAACCCCATCTGCCTCCCGGCTTGTGGAACCCTTAAAGGGCCGGGAAGCGCCGGCGCCAAGGGGTTAATGTGAGTGGATACTTTAACACATTTCATTTTTGGTTATATAAAACGGTGTTGCAGATGGTATGTTTTTGTTTTATTTTGCACGGATCTGGAGTTTAAAGAAGCATAATACGTGGAAGGAACACGTCACGCATCAGAAATCTGGAGACACATTTTCCTTATAAAGCGTGTTTTGGCCTGTTATAATCTATAGGTCAATGGTCAAGGTGAGCAGTGGGGGAGTGGGGCCACAAGTCCAGCATGGTGTTAATTATTGCTGGCTGATAACACAACATATATCTGGAAAAAAAAAATTTTCTTGGGACTGTCACTTGTTTCTAAAGCTTATGGTTCTAGTTATGATGAGATAGTGCACAACATTTTTTTCATTCAAACATTAAACCTACATATTACTGAAGTTGAACTTAAGGCAGCTTATAAAGAAACCAATTGACACAGTTATGTATTTCTTTAGAAAAAAGCAGAAAGGCTCTCTTATGTTCCAGCTAGCAGGTCTCAGACTGTACAATCTGTTACACTGACAGAACCCTATTATAATTTACAGCTGACAAAACACTACTTAGCTAACATTGTAGACTGTATGTGCAATTTGTACAGCAGTTCTGGTAATTTATACTTTGGTAAACCCTGCTTGGTATCTTTTTTTACCTGCCTATGTTTGCTCCTATGCTTTCTCTGTGATATACTCTCCATCAAATTATTGGAAAAGTTGAATAAACCGTTAATAAAAAGATGGCTAAAGGTGTTGAATTGAAAAGAGACTGAACAAAGAGGTAAAAAGGTGCTTGTGGACATCACACGATGATAGAGAGGCAAGTCCTATGCTTCAAAAGGAGAAGTGCAGCCAAAGCTCGTTTGGCTGTACTTCTACTGTGTATCACAGGAGTGCAGTTTGTTCTGCATTCCTATGACCCATTTTCAGCTGACAGTGGGGGGTTGTTCAGAACAGAGAAGTGACCAAGTCACCAGCTCTCTGCTCACAGAGCACGGAGAACTGAGCAATCAGCAGACTTTGATCATTCAGGTCTTAGAGCCAGCGGGGGACAGATGCTGCATCCACCTAGGTAAGTATGATTTCTACAAAAAAAAACACCCATACTTCTCTCTTAAGTACCTGAATGTACTATGGTACTGACTTTCTGTAAGTCACTTCACAGCAGACTGCAAGAGGTAGGGTTAGCATATAGCCAATCAGAGCTATGTAGTGAGTTCAGTGTACATGCTTACATATGGAAAGCATCAACTAGTACTCCTTTGTCCAAGCATAAACTGAAAAGCGGGGTACTAGACAAGCCTCTTGTGTAACTGCAAAGGAGCCAGCATGGAGGTCCAGGGTCTACCTGTGCTGCCTGGCAGAGTTGCCTGGATAACACGACTGGCTAAATATAAATGACAAATCCTAGGGTAGGTAAAGCAATTTGCATGTATGTATTTCAAAAATGAGTGTAGCTGAAGATCTGCTTAAAGTGTTACTAAACCCATATCAGTAAAATCATGTATATGCCGTAAAGCATGCTTGTTATACTCACTGTGGAACCTAAGGGGTTAATCCTCCACATAATGTAAAATGGCTCTTTGACCATCCTCTTGTACTGTCCCCAGTCCATCTGCTGACAGTACAGAGCCCTAGGAGTCCCTCTGCACATGCTCAGTTTAGTGTGCATTGCTAGAGTTTTGGGGAGTTTTTTCCTCTGGGAGGATGCATGTGATCAGCAGAGGGGATATGCAGAGTCAGGGGTTATACAGCCTCATATGACAGTGAGAGGTGAACAAAAACTCTTCCCACAAGCTTTAACCAGTGCTCAGCTGGACACTGCTAAAAGTCACAAAACTGCTATATACTGCTGATGAGAAAAGGTATTGAGCAGTTTCTATTTACTACAATAATTGCATTTCCATTTTCTGTGTATTATGGGAGAACAGATGATATAGTGAATGCAGGGTCCTGGGTTTAGTAACACTTTAAGTAATAGCTCAGTACAGTATAATAAAATGTACCACAGGATATATTACCGTTTCTGCCAGCACCGATTTGTATTTCTCACACTCGAGCTTCAGCAGTATATGGATTTCTTCTCCTTCCTTCAGCTTCTGCTCCAGTGTCTTAAAAGAGAGACATTTTCTGCATTATCCATATCTACAATTTGCGTAAAATAGATTTAAGAACCAGACCAACAGACTTCACAATACTGAAGCAAAAACATCCAAATATTTAGACAAACTTCAAGCAGGTCATACAGTGTGGCACTAATCTGCAAACCCAACATCCAAGTCATGCAAAATTTACCTTCACTTTCTCAGCTCCACCATTTTCATTTAAACAGACTTTAGCCAACCTCTCAAATTCTTGGATCCATTCGCCATGATGCTAGGGGAAGACAAACATTCCTTCAATGACAATAAGCTGTACAAAATTATATTAAAAATTCCATCACAGATAAACATGTTAAGTTTCTCATCTACCATCAAAAGATCATTTTCTTGGACATCAGGCGCTCCTTCTTTCCTATTATTCCAAGTATACGTGTGGAAACGACCTTATGGCTATACCAGAAAGGCAGCAGCCCAAACCCTAGGAGGGTTTACCGCCAATATCCACCATTGGGCAGAGCCCCACTGGAGGAACATCTCCCTACCCACCCACACAACCTTCCACCTACGGCCAGTGACTGATCCAGTCAGTCCAACGCAGTCTTCAGCACAAACGAGTTTCTTAATAGGGAAATTTTCTTTGACATCCTGTCCTATAGACTCAACATGAAGGGAGTGGAAATCTTTTTAATAGGATGGAAATCCAAACAGTGGTTATAAGATCAAGTACCCCCACTGCAAGATAATCCTTTTATTCCTGTTTTGGTGGCAACTAAAATAGTTTTTGCGCTCACCTTTTTTTTTTCCCAGTGAAACTGGTGATCAAGGCAATTAGCAAGAAAGAATCTCCCTACGGGGCACATAGACAACAATAAAAACCCAAGTGGTTCTAAACCCTTACCACTATATTCAAATACTCAAAAAAAAAAATGTTTTGGCATCAGTAATACTCTCATTTGGAATGGCGAAAAGATACTCTTTTAAAGGGATGTTTGATGGATTTAAAGTGGTTTTCTAAAATAAAAGGTAGCTTATAAAGTAGCCGTACTGACCCTTAAACTGTATTTCTTACCAAACTGGAAGAAACAGACACATTTGGGAAGATTTTCTGCAGGATTTCTCGTGCTTCCATTTCCCCAGTGTGAAGGTTCTGTGGTTTCTCCTAGAAGAGGACAAGATATCAGCCACCTGTTAACATGCAGGTCAAAGACTGAGAGATTCTGGACAGAGATTGGAGTAAAGGCACTAATACACATGTTATGTTGCTGAGGGATGGGGGGGGGGGAAAAAAAAATCAAACCACAAACAGAGTAAATTACACTTCACATGCGAATGGAGTCTAACAATTTCAGTTTTTTTTTTCTAATATTAAAAGTAAACCTGTCAATTGAAGCTACCATTGCTGACTTCACTTGTCAAATTGCTAGTTTCCTGGCTGTCATTCTTACCCATTGACTTCAATATTCTGAGCTCCTGACCCAGAAACTGTGTGCAGATATGGACATCCAACTCTTGTCCTCCGGCTCCTTCATCTGTATACTCACTATAACTCAGTGACTTAAAGCACTGGGGCCTGAGGATCAGCATAACAGCCGGTAACTAGTATTTTCAGAAGGAGGCCAGCAAACAGTGCCCATATTTCTCTCAGAACAGGTTTACTTTAAAGATGAATCCATTCATTCTAGCACCCTAGCTGTAAGATGCAAGCAGTCATTAGTAATCCTATATAATAGATCCACAGCACACTGTATTTATGTGATGCAAGCACCATCACAATTACGTAAAATAATCCAATAGTCCAGGACAATGCAACTATTGTAAAGAGAGGAAAAGCCACCATTCAGCAGCTGGGAGTGCAGAGAAACGCACAGCTGATGGAGCTGGCATTAAAGCCCAACTCTGGGCTTCGTGCTCTTACACCCACCCTCTACCCACACACACTGTTGCGTTCCCTGTTACTAATATTTTATACTTATCTATTCTGAAGTCTTCAAGACAGTCACAGAAATTTGTGAGGTTCTGTTCTCTAAGATAGGCAGGCCTCAATGCAGAGAAAGGTGGTAAGCTGATGCACAGTACAAAGTAAATGTACAATGCCATAGTGATGTCCTTCACTCACAGTATGTCCTCATTCTTCTGGTTTAAGCAATACTCAGCCTCATTTAACACAGAGGACATCTTGTGGCAGAGAAGTGGACCGGTAGGTCTCCTTATGCTAGTTATAAACTGATGTAAGCAGGTGCTGGCTTTAAGCTTCAGTCTAGGTTCTTGCGCAGCCCGCATTTGCACAGGCATGGCAGATCATTAATTTGAGTGGGCTGCTGTGCCCAAGTTACCTGCAGAAACACATTGGTTTCGTACTGCAAATTCCCTGCAGTCCCCGCACCAGCAAATATGCTGTGCGCAGGGGTGCCATTAAGAATGCATGGCAGCCCCGCGTGTCTTTACACTGCAGCACAATATGGCTGCGGGTGGTTGTGGGTGCAGGAACATCTGTGATTCCTGCACCCGCAAACACCAGCTCAGCTGCAGCTAAGTGTGAACCAAGCTTTATTGGAAAACTAAGGAAAGACATGAAAGAGTATACCTGCAAGCTTGATTTGCCTGAATGTATTAAAGGAGCTAATGAGGTTTTGAAACTGCACTTTTTGTTTAATAGATGTAAAGAGAAGATGGCTATAATTTCCCTGCAGCACCATCTGCACAGATGTCTCAAGCCTGACAAATACCTCTAAGCCACCGACTGTGGGACCATGGGCTGGAGGGGCAATATTAAAAAAAAGAGGGTGTTTTAGAATGACAAACGGGGTGGGGGCACAGAGGTAACCAATCCTGTAATTTCATCCTCACACCACCCTTTCAAATAAAAAAAAAAATATGAAGCTAAGCCACAAAAAGACCCCAAAACTATCATTGTAAGATTTAAACCAATTACATACTTTGAGATCTTTAAGGCATTTGTGGTGGATGAAATTTCCTATTCATTAAATACACTGCTCAAAAAAAAAAATGAAAGGAACACTTTGAAAACACACCAGATCTAAATGGGGGAAAAATATCATGCTGGATATCTATACGGATATGGACTGGGTAATGTGTTAGGAACGTAAGGATGCCCCAACGTTTGATGGAAATGAAAATGATCAACCTACTGAATTAAAAGACACCCCGAAAATCAAAGTGAAAAAAAAAGATGCAGCAGGCTAGTCAATTTTGCTGAAATTTTGTTGCATCAACTCATGACAGATGGTGTCCTGGGGTATTTCCTCTCAGATCTGGACCAGGGCATCACTGAGCTCCTGGACAGTCTGAGGTGCAACCTGGCGGTGTCAGATGGACGGACACATGATATCCCAGAGGTGTTCTATTGGATTTAGGTCCGGTTAGCATGGGGGCCATTCAATGTAATCAATTCCTTCATCCTCCAGGGACTGCCTGTATACTTTCGCCACACGAGGCCGGGTATTGTCGTGCACCTGGAGGTACCCAGGACCCACTGCACCAGTAAAGTCAGACAATGGGTTCAAGGACTTAACCCTGATACCTAATGGCAGTCAGGGTGCCACTGTCGAGCCTGTAGAGGTTTGTGTCCCTCCATGGATACGCCTCCCCAGACCATCACCAAAATGGTCATGCTGAACGATGTTACAGGCAGCATGACGTTCTCCATGGCTTCTCCAGACCCTTTCATGTGTCACATGTGCTCAGGGTGAACCTGCTCTCATCTGTGAAAAGCACAGGGCGCCTATGGCGGACCTGCCAATTCTGGTGTTCAATGGCAAATTCCTATTGAGCTCTATTGTGCCGGGCAGTGAACACAGGGCCCACTAGAGGACATCGGGCCCTAAGGCCACCCTCATGAAGTCTGTTTCTGATTGTTTGGTTAGAGACATTCACACCAGTGACCTGCTGGAGGTCATTTTGTAGGGCTCTGGCAGTGCTCATCCTGTTCATCCTTGCACAAAGGAGCAGACACCGGTCCTGCTGATGGCTTAAGGACATTCTATGGCCTTGTCCAGCTCTCCTAGGGTAACTGTCTCCTGGAATCTCCTCCATGCTCTTGAGACTGTACTGGGAGACACAGCAAACCTTCTGGCAATGGCATGAATTGGTGTGCCGTCCTGGAGGAGTTGGACTGCCTGAGCAACCTCTGTAAGGTCCAGGTATCGCCTCATGCTACTAGTAGTGACACTAACCCTAGCCAAATCCAAAACTAGTGAAAAACAGTACGAAGAGAGGAGTAGGAAAAAAAAAAGTCAATGGCCTCCACCTGTAAAACCATTCCTGTTTTGGGGATCATCTCATTGTTGCCCATCTAGTGCACCTGTTAATTTAATTAAAACCAAAGCAGCTGAAACTGATTAACAACCCCCTCTGCTACTTAACTGACCAGATCAATATCTCAGGAGTTTAATTGACTTGATTCTATACACTGATTAAAAAGTGTTCCTTTAATTTTTTGAGCAGTGTATATACATGCTTTAACATACAGTTTGTCTACCTGACAGCCCTTTAGATATTCCATATCTCACCTGTGTTGTGTAAAGGTTGAACCCACCCTAAAAACTGATTTATTTCTGACCACCTGGGCGTTTTGGGTGTCCCCATCCACATTTGCATACGTCAGCAATTCCTGTTGTATTCTTTAGGATATAAAATTTAAAAATCATATAGGGAGAGTAGGAGCCCCTAATAATGTCCACATCAGGTGTACAGAGCTGGTAACTCAATTCCAGAGATTTCACCAATATAACCCCAGAGAAATCTAAAAAAGTGCTAGATTGTTTCATGCTCTAGAATCTAAGAGCTGAAATAAGATTTGCTATGAACTACCTTCAAACTGCTCACAGATATTACATGTTGGCAAGACTGGGGGTAGAAGCACTAGTCTCTACTGAAAGTCAGTATCCCAAGAGGGGTGAAAAAGTATTTTTTGTGTATACAGAAAACTCCATAGTGTGATATGGCCGTAAACTGTGTCAATAGGTTAACATCTTCAAAATAACAGAGAGCGTCATTAGATTTTAAAAAGCTACAGAAAGTTAATAAGTTGCAGAGTTCTTAAAAAATGTCTATATATATTATGAGCTTGGATTTTGCAAAAGAGTTTGACACAGTTCCCCACACACGGGTAATGTGTAAGGTAAAGTCGATGGGCTTGGAAAAATCCGTATGTAAATGGACAGAAAACTGATCGTATTCAGAGAGTAGTGGTTAATGATTCATACTCTGAATGGTCTAGGGTTGTCAGTGGTGTACCCCAGGGTTCAGCGTTGGGACCCTTACTTTTTAATATATTTATAAACGATATAGGGTCTGGGATTACAAATCCCATTTCAGTCTTTGCAGATGACACCAAGCTGTGCAGTGGAATAACGCCCTTAGAGGATGTCTCCAACTTACAAGCCGACCTCAATGCACTGTTTAGTTGGGCAACTATGTGGCAAATGAGGTTTAATGTTGATAAATGTAAGGTTATGCACTTGGGGGCTAATAATATGCATGCATCATATATACTCGGGGGGGTACAACTGGGGGAATCAATGGTGGAGAAGGATCTGGGAATTCTGGTAGATCACAAGCTAAATAATGGCATGCAATGCCAAGCTGCAGTTTCTAAAGCGAGCAAAATCCTCTCTTGTATTAAAAGAGGTATAGACTCCAGAGAGAGAGATATCATATTACCCCGGTACAAATCATTAGTAAGACCTCATCTGGAATATGCAGTTCAGTTTTGGGCACCAATTCCCAAAAAGAACATTGGGGAACTGGAGAAAGTACAGAGAAGGGCAACCAAACTAATAAGAGGCATGGAGGAGATATGCTATCTTTTAGCATACCCCCTATGAGTATGTGCTAGAGCACGAAACGCGTCAGAAAGGAGCTACAACGCTGAGATGCCACGAGGCCCTGTGTTGGTCCGGTGGCCATCTTGCCTACATACGGTCAGTGGTTTTTTCTCTTGTTTTTTGCCTTCTATTGTACCTGTGACTGGTTTATTAAATATTTGAAGCAGTATCACGCTATGTGGCCTCCATTTCTTGGACTCTTGATAAGTCTAACCACCCGCAGAGTTCTTTGAGAAGGAGAGGGAAGTTGCTGCCATCCACGAGTTATCCAGGGAGGAATCCATACCAGGCTATAGAGGCCCTATAAGACGCT